AGCATAACAAAAAATGTTTCTGAAGACAATCACCTATTGCACCTTTAAGAGGAGCCTTGTTTTAGCTTGTTGTAAAATAAAGTGAGCGAGTGAATAACTGGCCGAATGTGTTGAAACAAGAGCCAGAGTTTTGCCCTGTAGTGGTAATTACCGGCGTGACAGATGGCTTGAGACGCCTGCGCTTCTGTTGTGAACGGAGCGACACACTTCACACACTTATATTTATCATTCACTCTGCATCTCAGTGCATCCTGAGCAAGACTCATAACACTGGGTCTTTCAATTGAGTTACAGGCAAATTTGCAGTCCTGAGTTGGTGTTTTGTGTTTAGATGATTGAATTGCTTTAATGACTCAGTTTATCATGGTCAAATATGTTATTAAATTCTATTCAAAAGTTAGAGGTCAGCAAGATTTTTTCAAATAATACTTTTATTTGAAAATATGCATTAAATTGATCAAAAGTGACAGTAAGGACATTTTAAAGTGTGACAAAATATTTTTATTACAAATAAATGCTGTTCTTTTGAACTTTCTATTCATCAAAGAATCTGGAAAAATAAAAAAGTATCATCGTTTCCACAGAAATATGAATCAGCACAGCTGTTTTTAACATTGATATTAATCAGAAATGTTTCTTGAGCAGCAAATCAGCATATTAGAATGATTTCTGAAGATCATGTGACACTGAAGACTGGAGTACTGATGCTGAAAATTCAGCTTTGATCACAGAAATAAATTACATTTGACCAATTTTTATTGTATTTTTGATTAAATAAATGGAGCCTTGGTGAGCAGAAGAGACTTTTTTTCAAACACATAAAAAACCTAATGTTAATTCAGAACATAATGAAGCTATTTTTGTGTGTTTCATTTTGTTTTAATGTCCAAGTTTAGCAAAATAAGTAAAAAATTAAATGAATAAATAAATAAATACATAGGTACATACATAATAAATAAATAAAACAAATTATATATATATATATATATATATATATATATATATACACACACAGTACACACACACAAACATGAACTCACTCCATACAGTGAGACTACATGCCTTGCTATCTATTTTTTTTCCTCATTATAAACAGTGGAAATGTTCAAAAACCTTGTCAGAGATTATTGTTTAAATATAAATCTCCTGGATTAAAAACATGTGACAACTAGCCCCGGTCTGTCCTATAACAGTTTTCATTACCCAAATCATACGCGCCCCTATAGGGTCTCCTCTCATATGCCAGCCGTTATTCAGATTGGCACGGGCCTCGATCGGGACAGTTGGCGTCCGCCCCGCTGGTGACAGATTTGGCAGAGATTGAACAGGAAGTTGGCAGAGCCATGTGTGATTAAACAGGAAACAGATCCAGGCGGCGAGGGTATGAATGGATCAGCACTCGAGTGATCCAACAGTCTCGGGTGCCAAAACCTCTCTGAACACACCAGGATCAATAGTGTGAATCAGAGCTTCAGGGACAGCTTTAGAGAGCCGGCCGTGTTTCAGCTGAGACGTGGCCCTTATGCTGATCTATGATGACGGTTAACACTGTAAATCGTCTGTAAATCCAGCTACATGAATCTGGGGTTTGCAGTGTATTACATACTGTCTGGTTCTGCTGATCTGAACACTTATTCTACCATATATTTCAATGTTATGTAATCATGTTTGTATTTGTGGTGTGTGACACTTGTTGTCCAGTGATTAATTTGTCTGTACTGAAGCCTGTCGTCTTCGACTTGCTAAACTAGGGTTTAACCATCATAATGCATTTCAAATATGTATACGGTTTTCACATTCTGGGTGAGCTTGTACCCGAAAAATTGCTTTATAAAACAGTCAACAACTCCTCATTAATGAGTGAATGTGAAAAATTTCAAAGTTCACAAAATGTCAAAATTTTATAATTGTACCATGTTTTTATTGCATTTATCCCTTTTATATTAATTAAAAAGTTGAGAAATGCACATGAACCACACTAAAAATACTATAATGCAAAAAATATATATATTTTTTTCTAATATTGATGAGAAATCTTATTTGAATATACCATTGTATGAAATTTATAAGAACATATAATCTGAGAATTATCAGTATTTATTAACCCCATTGGAATGAATGGATTTTAATCAAATTCCTTTGACTTTATAACTCAGGATTGTTCAGAAAGGTCCGAAAAGTATTTCATACTTACCAAAATGACTCAAGCACGAAATGTGTAACTTTTTTTTTTTTTTATGGTTATATCTCTTTAAAAATAATTGTAAAAAAGTTTGATGAATGAATGAATAAATAAGTAAATAAATAAATGTTGTCTTAAAACTCTTTCCAAAGTTGCGTCCCCTTACTAAAAACTATGCAGTTTTTATGTATCTCTTCCAGGTCAAAACAAATCTGAATGCTTTATGAGAGTGAAAAGACCATAAATATTCAGTAATATTATTGATCTGACTTGCACCGACGCTATCAGGCGAGAACAAAACTTAAACTGAATTAAAGGAACACTCCACTATTTTTTAAAATAGGCTCATTTTCCAACTCCCCTAGAGTTAAACAGTTGAGTTTTACCGTTTTCGAATCCATTCAGCCGATCTCCGGGTGCATGCAGGCACAGCAGGCGCAATGATATTACACAGTGCCTGAAAATAGGCTTACTGGAAGTTACCTAGCTGGGGACTATTTTCAGGCGCTGCGTAATATCATTGCGCCTGCTGCACCCATGGTACGGCAGCAAAGTTCCTTGATTATTACGCCAGAATGAGAGTATAGTTCCTAACTTAGTAAGTATAGTACAGGGCTCTACGGTAACTTTTTTTATTAGGAGCACTTGTGCTCCTAATCAAAAAAATTTAGGAGCACAGTCAAAAATGTAGGAGCACAGACAATTTTAGTTTTTTTTTCCCCCCTTAAACAACACAATATTAATGTGCCACATAACATACACAAATATGGAGAGCATGAGAAAAAAAAATCAGAAACATAGCTTCAGATAAACATTTAATATTTTCAGTTTCAGAAAAACAGTTAGACAGGCTGTCCTCAAAACAAAAAAATCATGCATAAATTTCATATGCACAAATACACAATGTACAGACGTTGAAGTGTAGTGCTCAAATATATTTAAAACAACAGTTCACCAACAAATAAAAATTCTGTCATCATTTACCCACCCTAATGTCATTATATACACATAATATTAAAAATACCTTCAAGTGAGTTCTGAAGATGAAAGAAAGACTTAAGGTATTGGAATGACAAGAGGGTGAGCAAATGATAACAGAATTTTCATTTTTGGGTAAACTGTCCTTTTAAAAGCTTTATTGACATCTGCACTGCTGAACACAATTAATGTTCCTGCCACACAGTGAACAGCAATCAGATGCTGCATATTTCAGCTGGCCAGGCTTTGTAGTGTGGTTTTCTTGAACGTTTACTTGAAGACAGCCACTTCTCTGCGCATTTGCTTGGATCAAATCTCTCCAGAGAAGGTCCCTCAGTGCTGATTTGAATAAGATCCTCCGTGGTCGATACGTGCAGACTGCTTCGAGTGGAGTTTTTGATGCGGTTCTGTGCTGAGAATCCTCTCTCACACTGTGCAGCTGATATAGGTAGAATCAGCATCATCTCGACAAGGTGCAGTATGTTCTGGAAATGAAACAAACAACTGTACTGATTAAAAATAAATAAATCCAATTAGGCAAGCTATTACATAAAGTACTGTAGAAATGGTAAAAAGTGTACATTACCTTGTAGTCAACATTGTATGGCTCTTTGGTGGACAAAGTTTGCCACAAGCTGCTGTAGGACTTGTCTTGAAATGTTTGTCTTACAAGTGTCTTCAGACTTCTCCACTCCCCTTGAACGTTGTCTGTCTGGCATCCACCTCTAACCCAAACAAAGCACAGTTATAAATGATGATATGCAGAAACATCTAATGATCCATCTATCTAAATCTACAATGTAATGGGGTAACATCTCACCTTTGCAGTACTTCTTGAAAATGATTTAGAAGAACATCCACCTGCTCACTGCCATAATCTAGTAGAACGTCTTCATTTTCTGGCCATGTGTCATGGTTAAAAATTTTGAAACAATCAATTGCAGTATATGCTGGACACTGGCTGTCTTTGTTTATTAGACTACCGAAGCGAGCATGTAGGGCCTCAACAGCAACAGAAACGACAGCACTGATTTGCTGCTGTAACTTATGGTTGCCTAGGCCACCAGGCTGGATCATTCCTGACATGTCACCAACAAGTGATATACCCTGAAAGAAAAAAAAATATTACATTTACATTATATTCTGTTGTTAGAACAATGCAGTGTATTTGTCTGAGAATATAAACATCACAATGTTTAGAAAAATCAAAAATAACAGGTATTGTTCCTAATCTTGTGCCTATCTCTCCAGAGAAGGTCCCTCAGTGCTGATTTGAATAAGATCCTCCGTGGTCGATACGTGCAGACTGCTTCGAGTGGAGTTTTTGATGCGGTTCTGTGCTGAGAATCCTCTCTCACACTGTGCAGCTGATATAGGTAGAATCAGCATCATCTCGACAAGGTGCAGTATGTTCTGGAAATGAAACAAACAACTGTACTGATTAAAAATAAATAAATCCAATTAGGCAAGCTATTACATAAAGTACTGTAGAAATGGTAAAAAGTGTACATTACCTTGTAGTCAACATTGTATGGCTCTTTGGTGGACAAAGTTTGCCACAAGCTGCTGTAGGACTTGTCTTGAAATGTTTGTCTTACAAGTGTCTTCAGACTTCTCCACTCCCCTTGAACGTTGTCTGTCTGGCATCCACCTCTAACCCAAACAAAGCACAGTTATAAATGATGATATGCAGAAACATCTAATGATCCATCTATCTAAATCTACAATGTAATGGGGTAACATCTCACCTTTGCAGTACTTCTTGAAAATGATTTAGAAGAACATCCACCTGCTCACTGCCATAATCTAGTAGAACGTCTTCATTTTCTGGCCATGTGTCATGGTTAAAAATTTTGAAACAATCAATTGCAGTATATGCTGGACACTGGCTGTCTTTGTTTATTAGACTACCGAAGCGAGCATGTAGGGCCTCAACAGCAACAGAAACGACAGCACTGATTTGCTGCTGTAACTTATGGTTGCCTAGGCCACCAGGCTGGATCATTCCTGACATGTCACCAACAAGTGATATACCCTGAAAGAAAAAAAAATATTACATTTACATTATATTCTGTTGTTAGAACAATGCAGTGTATTTGTCTGAGAATATAAACATCACAATGTTTAGAAAAATCAAAAATAACAGGTATTGTTCCTAATCTTGTGCCTTACTTAAATATTTAGTAGTGGTAGTAGGCTCACTATCTCTAATCCTAACAAACCTGAAATGTGACCTTATCCTTTTCTTGCCCTTGAAGACAAGCCAGAAACTTGGAAAGCATGCCACTTTGCTTAAGTCTTCCCTTCATGGCCTCTAATGCTGCAACTGTCTTCCTAAGTTCAGATACAGCTTGGGGAAGAATGAGGTCATTCTTCTGAAGGATGCAACTGAGTGTAGCCAGTTCTTGAAAGACGTCAGCCAGGAAATGACTGAATGCGCAGAAATTCACTTCCTGCATTTCCTTTCTTATCTAATATAGAAAAGTACTTGAAATTTTTTCATTTCAACTTTTGGAAAGTAGCATGTATATTATTATGAAACTAACCTTCTTTGCACGACCCAGTATGTCAGCATTGGCAGCAGATAAGGCCAGGTGTTCCATATGATAGAAGGTGACCGCATACTGACCACTGTCTGCAACCAAGTCTCCATTCTTTTCGGATTTAAGAAGGGTACTCAGTGCTCGGTGCACGTGAGGAATCCATCTTGTTCCCTTCACACTAGAAGGAGTGCAAACCCCCACACCAAGCTGTTCTCCAAGGGCATTCAACTCCCGTCTTGACTTTGCACTAACATGATAAGTTTTCCAAACAAGATGGAGGAGGTCATACACTTTTGCTACCATCGGAGCGCTGCAGGTTGAGAATCGCCAGCTCTAACCTATCCAAAAAAAATAGAGAAAATTTTGATTATAATTCTGCAAACCAGATGTAACAGTAGAGACAGTTCTTATAGGCATTGTGAATAAAAAAACAAAAATATTATGCCAGAAGATTCAGTTATATTCATGTAGTAAAAAGTAGTAAAGGTTACATTCTTTTCAAAAGAAAACACTAACCGATGTGGCATGCAGTGTATGGGAATCACATGTTCTCCAACTTCCCTCTGCAAAAGAACAATCACTCCACCATGGATGCCCATGTTTACAGATGCACCATCTGCACCAAATGCAATGCATTTTTCTGTCCAGTCAGGGGTGCCAAGGGAATCAAATGCAGCCTTTGTACCATCTAGGATGCCTTCAAAAAAAAAACATTGTTCCTTTACATTATAGTTTCTTTTCATAACTTTCATAATATTTTCATTATCAAGCCACATTACACTAAAACAATGTTTTCCTGGTTCTTTGAAATAAAATAAAATAAAATAAGATAAAAAATAGTTTACAAAAATTGTACAGTCTACAATAGTTGTTAGGCACTGTTAATATCTTACTGAGTTATGTAACTTACTTTACAGTTATGTAATTTACTTTGGGATGAGAACTTAGAACTAATGGTTCTTAAGCCACTTTAATTGAATAATAGATTATAATAGTTTAGTATAAGCTTCCTGTAAAATGCATGTTTAAGTGTTATCTACAGCTTCAGTGACTTCAGTGGGGGGGGGGACAATAATAAAAAAATGTGGTACTTACCCTCTGCATGGGCATGCTGAAGCATCTGCTGGCCGACTAGACGAGTCACCGGTTTTCCGTCTTCTAGAAAGCGCACATACACTATCTCGCACTCTGTATTGGAGACATCTGTATCCCCATCAACAAGAACAGAGAGGTAACGTGCATCTTGAATGGTTTGAGCAAGCTTATCCCTGATGTCTTCAGCGATCTGGGCTATCATTTCTGCACATCTGACGTCGTTGTCATAGGTAGGGTTGATATCCACACCGTTTTTCTTCTGAAGCAAAAGTAATGGCCCAAATTTCGTAAATGGGATTTCTTCTTTCGCTGTCAGGTATGCGGTGTTGAATTTGATTTTTAGTTGTCTAAGAGCTTTTGCGTTTGTAAGGCTTATTTGCCTGTTAGCGGCTGCCTGAATTGTACGAGGATTATTAGGTTGTGACCTGTTAATAAATATGTCCCTGCAGCGAAAATGGCGCTGGGAATTGCCGTGATTTACAAGCGATTCTCGCTTGAAGTGTGAATTTCCGCACACAAACATTGTTGGCCCTGCTAATTCCGCACCGGCTTCTTTGCAGTATTTGCACAGCATGACATCTTTATCTCGGTTGTATTGTAGCCATGGAAAAGCGTCAAGCCATTCATTTCGGAACTTGTACTGTTTAAAGTTACCTGTCACTGATATTTTCTGTTTCTTACAAGGAACAACAGCACCGACTTCTTGTTCGTCTTGTTGTTTTTCTTCTTGTTTTTTGAAGCTACTCTGTTCTGCCTCATTTGAGACAGAACTCTTAAAGTAAAATTTGATGCTTTTCATCCCAACACCGCTTTAATTCAACGCCACAGTCGTCACAAACTATTTCGCGCCGCTTGCTTGGGTGACTGGAATTAAAAGCAACCAATCACAATGCGAAACGTCACTGTTGATGCGTAACGTACGTGTAAGGGCATTGGGGAGTTGTAGTTTTTAGCTTCGATCGGGTCAGTCGCACAAGTGCGCCTAAATATTTTTTCATTGTCGCACACAGTAATTTTTTGTCGCAAATGCGACTGAAATGGTCGCACTGTAGAGCCCTGATAGTATAGTTCGCAACTTTTCATTTTCCGTCGGTCTTAGTACACGATGTAACTACAGAAGAGTCAAGTTTTAAATAGGAAAAATATAGAAACTCTTTGGTCATTTTTGAGCGAGATGCTAACGGTCTAATCAGATTCAATGATCTATGCTAAGCTACAGCTAAAAGTGCTACCACCAGACCCGGAGATCGGCTGAATGGATTCGAAAACGGTAAAACTCAACTGTTTAACTCTAGGGGAGTTTTTTCAAAAAATTTTCAAAAATAGTAGAGTGTTCCTTTAAGCTGCATGATGCACACTGAAACTAATATCTTTCAGAGATTCTAACTTTGACGCATCCAGTTGTTCCACTAAAGCCCTCATGGTTCAGACTCCTGGAAGTAAAACCAATCACACAACTCTTCATCTCTGCTCAGATCCTCCTAAAATCCTTTAGGAGATAAAAACAGACAGTTAATGGAGACTAGAGCTGTGAAATGAATTAATGAGAAACATTTGCGTTCAAAGATCTCAGAAGTTTCCTTGCATATATTTGGTATCTTGAGCACATTGAAGAGATTTCTTCCGAAACTTTAGAGAGGTCAGATTACTGGGGTAGTTTTGTTTTAGGAGACACATTTCAGAAGCAGGAGCAGAATCCGACTCTTGACCTGTTCTGCAGTTTCATTGTTTCTGCGAATGTGCGTCAAACCCTGTGATTTCATTTGTTTTTATGAATTACTCTACTCACAAACTGAATTAGTAATTCATGACCCCCCCCCCCCCCAAAAAAAACCAGTTTAGCACTTTAGCTGCTTTATTTTTGCACCCCACAGCAAATTGTATTTTGTAAAATAATGAGTGCTCAGTAGAAGCTTATTACAGGACGTTGTTGAGTTTCTCCACTGGCTTCATACAGTAAAATAACACCAAGAAGAGCCATAGCCAGTAGAAAAGACCTTCTTTCCAGACTCCAGCGAACCTGAAAGAAATAATTAGCTGTAATGGATGGTCTGAACTGTGTGAAGTCTTTAGCATCTCCAGAAACAGAGTGTAAATAACAGATCTGAAAATAATGCTGTATGTTTCAGTTTGTGCACGTATAGCTCCTATAGAGAGCTGCATTGATTGTGGGTTGTTTGTTGTACTTTCTGCTTTTCTCAGAGTTGTTCAACACTTTGTTCTCCTTATCCCAGAAATGTCGTGAACCGTGTGAACATGAGCAGGAAGAGCACTCACCAGCTGGTCTTTTAAGACTGTGAAGTGTGACCAAAATCTTAGATTATTTCACAGTTTAGTTGCTTTCAAGTGCATTAGAGTTTCCCTTCAACTTAACATAATCAATTCAATAACAATATCACAACAACATTTATCATGAAGACAGATGCAGACAGAAGACGTTTGTCTCACAATCTTGGTGAGTTTGGAAATTATTTGAAAATTGTTATCATCATAATATTCTTTTTTGATGGGAAAAAAATTAACTTTTTAACTAACTCATCAGAATGGTACAAAACTTGGTAAAGGTTGAAAAGGTTAAATGGTCCTGAAAAAAACCCCACACTTGTTCTCCTCGTGGTTTCATCTACTGGAATCGTTTGGTTCTGCGCCCAAAAAAAAAAAAAAAAAACTTACTGAAAGCTAATTTTTGAGATATCAACCTCAAATTTGAAACACATCTTTTTTAGATGTATGGCTTTGATTTTCTCACCGTTTTAGAGTAAAAACAAATTAATGTTGAAAATAGTATTATTTTTTCATGACAATAAACTTCTATAACCTTGTTATTATTATTATTTACTTTTTTTACTAAGAAATTTCTTTTCCAGGTCTACACTCAAAAAGTATTTAAAAGGTAAACAATGGATTATAATTACTGCTTAAATATAATTTAGTACCATAAAATCCCCTAAAAATACAAAATATTAAGTAATTAAAAAAGCATTATCAAACTAAAATATAGTATATTAATTTCATTGAAAAAAAAAAAAAAAAGTTTATTTTTGACCACCACGCGAAGAGCACCAGAGGGTTAAAAACTTCTCAAAAGTTTATGGTCTAAGAAGTAACTTGTGATGGCTGAATCAAATTACTTGCATACAAATGCAAAAATGATTGGAGACCTTTGTAAAAAAAAAACATTTCAGCCGCTCGTTTCTGATGCTTGTTGATAGTTATGTCATGTGGAAGAATAGTGTAGCATCTATCATACTTTCTCCTCATTACTTCACTGTGACTAGATGGCCCAAGTGTCTGAATATAAAACAAAAGTTGTAAATGTGTATCTAGTTTATGTCAGAACACTGTTGAAGTTCAGGATGATTAATTTTGCTGCTAAATTTCAATAGATGTAGGCTGTCTGAATTCTGAAAGCTGCAGGTTTTTTTTTGTATATCTAAATTTAAAAATCAAATACTTAAGGAATATATGATTTTTCTTGATTTGGTCCCTTTAATCAAAGTGGGAAACAAATCACATATAATTTTTTCATACTAGATAGTCAAGATGAGTGTAATGCATTGTGAGACATAAGATCTCATGCCACGTGTTTTGCTGTATAATGCACGTTTTGTAGTTCCCTTTCATGGGAACTTCGAACTGCGTCCTCTAGGAGTCGCTATGGGGAACGCCTCGTCGTGACCCGTGTCTGAAGCATACATTGAAAAAACACCAACTCGTTGGCCGGCGACAGCCATGACGTCACTACCGGTGCGACTAAAGTATAAATAGGCGCTGGGAGCACACATCATTCTCTTCTTCGTCTTCATTGACTGTTTTGTTTGAAGCGTGCATTTC